AGTGTTGCGCTTTATGTACCAAATGGGGGAGTTTGGGGGATGGGCAGCCCTCGTTTTGCGACCCTACGGTCGCGCTAAAACCTGCAGGGGTTAAAAATCCGATTTTCGGGCGTTTCCTCACTTTGGTCATAACTTTTCATTTCTTATCGGATTTTAACGATTTTTTATGCTACAGTTTCGTCTTTTCAAGATATTCGAAGGGATTTTGAAGAATATTAGAGTTTCCCAAATGTTTCAGGTTCTTAAGGTTGAAAGATAAGCTCATAACTCACCATCTCTTAACCTAGGGTTTTGGCCATTTTGCATCGTCAAATATCCTCTCCGCTTTGTGGCGTTTTTCTAAGATTTGGGGAGTTCAAGGAAGTAGTTTGAGTTCTTGGAAACATTTGATCTAGAGTTCGAGATTGAGGATCGAAGTCTTCAACAAAAGGAGCTAAAGATTTAGACTAAATATAGTAAGGTGAGTTCAAGTTGCTTTGCAAAAAATTATGTACATGTCAAAAATGTCCATTTTGAAATATCCTTATTATTAAATTTTTTAATTTAGTCGTTATTTCCAGTTTTGAGGGGTTACGGTTAATAATGTTGTATGATTATCCAATGCTTATTTTTAAATTACATAGAAATAATTTAAGGATAACCACTAGAATTTAATATATTAGTTATTAAATTACTTTAATACCCCTTATTATTCAAACCATAAATAGAACATGATATTTTCAGTCAATAAATAAATTCTTATAAAAACATAATACATAATTAATGAATTTATATAAAATCAAGATAAACGTATTGTTTTAAAATAATATGTTTAGCTTTAACAAAAAGTCAAATTGCATAAAAAAATAACATACTTTAGTTTCATTCCTATTGTGGGTAACGTACTTTCAAAAATAATATGTAAAATTGTATATATTTAAGTACCCGGGTAACCGTTGATGCATTAACCGGTTACCATGCAGATGTGACGAGTGATATGATGAAATTGGATTGAATAGCAAATAATACTGAGTTGGATACTACATCATTCGCCATATTAGCATGGTAACCGGTTAATGCTTCAACCGGTTACCCGGGTATTTAAATGTTTAAGACTTTACATTTTGGGTACCAAAATAAAAGTTCTGAGAGTACGTTACCCACAATAGAAATCAAGTAAAGTATGTTACTTTTTAATGTAATTTGTCCTTAACAAAAAAATGATATATTTAATAAACATATTAATTTGTTAATGTTTTTTTAAATTATTATTGTTAGCTGTCAAGAACATCCTTAACAGAAGTGCAATATTTTCTTTCTTTTCATTCTAATTCGGACATTTTTTTTTTCTGTCTACTAATTTTATCTATTTTAGAGGAGAGTTTAATATATCTGTTGGAACAAACTTTTTCCAATCTTCAAAATTTCTAAAATAGCATAGTTGTTGGAGATGCTATAATAATTATTAAATTTTAAGAAAAAAAGAACCAAGTCAAGTGGTACTTGCAAACAAAATACAGAATGGCAAATATGCGTCACTATTAAAAAAAATATAAGATATATATTACGATAACAAAAAAAAATCAATTTCCACGTTTTTATCACGCTTTTCTTCTTCAAGTGCATGCACGTAAACACAAAAACGAACCATCTCCAACATGTACTAAAATTTATCCGTTTTAATCTGTTATTCAACTCGTTCAATTTCACAGATACCTGCTTTTTGGTGTTGTTGCATTGAACTAACAAAAAGACAATGCCTAGCTATAACGAGATGCAATAACATTTAATACGTTTGTAAACGATAAATATTTTTTCAAATTTTGTCTATTCAGAGAAATAGTAAAACAAGTTTTTTTTATTTATAAAATTTGTACAACTAGAAGTGTACTCGTGCAATGCATCAAGACACATCTCGATTTTAATATTTCATTTTATTTTTCTTATGTTGATATAATACGTTTTTATGTGGTTTTGAGAAAACAATAATGTTTTTATTTTAAAATAAAATATAAATTTGAAAATAACAAAAAAATTTGAAAAAAAAAATATATCGATATTAATATCAAATTAACTAATTAATATCAAATTAACTATTTAAAAGTTTAACTTTTTTGTGTAATTTCTTAATTCGAATTTTTCTATTTAATTTAATTTAAGTTAGTAACGAAGTAATTTAATTTATGTTTAATAATATTTTTTTATAAAAATAATAATTAATTATTTTGTTAGAACTCAATAATTATCTTAAGTATATTTTAGATTTTTTATATTTAAAATGAGATGTTTATTCTATATTTGATTATATTTATCTGCAGTTAGTTACACGAATTCAAATATGAAACTTTAATAAGTTATATTCATGCAAAATTTACTTGTAATCTTGAATTTTAAGTAATATGCATCAATAAACAGTAGTTTATACATAAAACTGGTTTTTAAAAGTTTTTTTTTTTGTCAAATACTTTATAAAATAGTATAGATAACAATCTCTTAAATGTGTTATATTTTTATAAATTAAATATGATATTTATTAAATAAAATTAATATATATTTAATGCAGTAATTAATTTAATTTGTTTTGGCGATGCGTAGAAGACAAAGACCCAAAAGAGGACATGTTACTTTATTGTGATCATGGGAATTTTGGTCGGTCTAAGTCATTGTCATATTCCGAAATCTGGTGGTAGTGAAAAGACAATAATGCCCCTCGAAAGGCTAAGGGCAAAGTTGTCATTTTACAAGTAAGGGAGGTTGCCTAATACAAACAAAAGCGATTTAAAAGCATAACCATAACCATGAGAGCTTGTCAAAACAAACGTGAATTTATTTACCTTTTTTTTTTTTTTAATATATGGTTTTCCGTAAAAGTTAAAAAAGCCAAAAAAAAAAAAAAAAAAACCTACTGTAACACTTTCAAAGCTTAAAATAACAAGCTGATCCAATAACTTCGAATTTAACTTGAAATTATGGTGGAAGTTATTGGTAGCCCACTACTTGGAACTAATAAGAAGCTAACAATTCTTACTTTCTATCCATGTGGGACGAGTTGTTACACTGATGATTTGTATGATCTGTTTAAATGGTTACAAGTCTCTTATAATAATATTAACGTATTAAATTTAAATCTTGTACAAAGTTAGTTGAATGCTATCTAATACTGTATAAATATTATTTTTTTCAAAGCGGAAACGACACAAGATTTCATTTCAAGAGTATCGTCAACTGTGGATTCATTTATCGGAACATCGTTTTTATGAAAACATGGTTTGTGTTTAAATGGAAATGGCGTATTTGATTTGAAGCGTGATTAATATTGATCAAATAAATATGTTACTAACTGATGCAGATGCATCTTTTTAGATACTATACATTTCACTTGAGATCATGTGAGACAAAATTGTTTTCGTGAGATATGTGAGACAAGTTTTTTTTACATTTGAAACTTCACAGCAAAATGTTGTGAAGGTAACCTTGACAGTGTTTTTGTTGTGAAAGTTTGGCTTCTTTTTACTTTCACAATATTTTACTGTGAAGTTTCAAGTGCAAAAAAGTTGTCTCATGAAAACAACTTTGTCTCACGTGAACCCAACCCATATATAATTTTATAAAAATATGTTACAAATTAACTGAGAACCAATATTTTGATTAGTGTTATTACAATTATATCAATTAAATTAACTGATATAAATGATGAACTGTTAATGTCTATTTCAGTTTTTGTTAGCTAAATTGATTAAATAAAAAAAATGATGTAACTGATATGAGAATAATCACAATAGTAATTTATGTAGTTTTTATTAACCATTTACGTAAAAGTCTTAATTACATGTGTATAACATCTATAAACCATAAAATAAAAATCGACAACGTAATAGAAGTTACGAGTTGTTAAAAAAACCGCATATTTGGAGCAACAAGTTGGAGATAGTTTCATGTATATAAAAAAGATTGGTACCAAAGGGTTTTTGACCTAACGGTATTGTAATCTTTGCCTTCCTAGGAGGTCAGATGTTCAAACTTCACCAAAGGTGAGGAGAGTGTATGAGTTTATTTGTTGCATTTACCGTATATAAATATTATACACTTAAAAATTGATCGATAAAATGTACTTATAAATATTTTTATATTCTTTTTTTGTTTGTTATAAAATGTAGAAATTTTTATTAAATATTTGGACGGTCTGTATGATTTTAATAATTTGCCACATAATAAATTTTCTTTTGAAACCTCGTGTTTAAAAATGAAAACAACTTAACATATTTAGTTATTTAGAGTCAGGTTCAAACGAGAAAATAGTCAAAATAAAAGAGCACAAGAATGCGTATATTACATGTGATTTTAGACGAAATCACATGTCATTCAGGTAACTTCAGTGCATGGAGATGTGTCCGACGACGTCATTCAAACTCGCACCCAAAACGACATCGAACCCCTCGTCGTTCGTTCTCCATCCCGTCCATCCCCGTCGTTTCCATTTGCCACCGATTTTCGTCTTTTTGATATGTTTCCCTTTGCCATACGGTGTGAATGACGTAAAATTTGCAAACAATAAAACTAATATGGTTTTTTTTTAAACTTTAAAACATTTTTATGCAGTTACAGATAACTTTTTTTCAAATTAAAAAATATATAAATAAATTTTAAAAGTTTAATAGTTTTTTCAAATTAAAAAATATTTAGAAATTAAAATTATTAAAATAAATAAAATTAATGACATTTTCATTCAAGTGAAAAATTCAGAAACTTAATTATTTTCCTTGAAAAAAGAAATTTCACAAATTCTCGAACTTTAAAGTATAAAGTTGCCGACTAATATTCGAGAAATAAATGGGTTTTTTAAATAAAAGGGTGGCGGATTTTTAAATAAAATAACTAAAACACGTGTCAGCACCGGCTATTGCCAGTTACCGGTCATCCCCTCCACCCCCCTTAAGAACAGTCGAACACGGCGGCGACCCGACGCAAAGTTAGAAATTAACCAGCTGTTTGTGGGTCCCTTTTTCGCTACCGCCGACCGCCGTCCTCCTTTTTCTCCGACCTCCCTCCCTTCATCTCTCTCTCTCTCGTCTCTCTCTCTCTCTATCTATATATCTATGTGTGTATATATATATATGTATGTATATATACAGCTGTTCATATTAGAGATAATTTTCTATAAACAAGTTCAGATTTTTTTATATTACAAATGAAGCAATAAAAACAACAAAATCAAACCCTCCTTGTTATTCCCTATAAGTTCTCTTACCCAACAAATTTTAACCCTAAAAAGCCTTTTCCTTTGCAGATTTCCAGATAGAGAGAGAGATATATATATATACACATATATATACATATATATATATATGTATATGTCCACAAATACCTGTATGCAGAGATAGAGAAAGAAAGAATTGATGAACTAACAAATTTCATGTAGAGAAGAAAAGAGGGACTTTTTGGTAATTTGGGGGCATAATTCGATACAAAGAAGGAGGCAAATCTTGCATATTTCTTCTTATCCAATCGGTAAGTTAAAATACCCTTTTTGTTTTAATTAGTGTAATCTCCAATCAAACAGATCTATTTTCACTTTCTTTCTATTTTTTAATTGGGGAAAAAGGGTGCTTCCATGTTTCAATTTCAATCAATAGATTTAGGGTTCCGCAAGTATTATTTGATTGGATTGATGGATTTGTTTGTTGATGTTAGTTATTAGATTTAGAGATCTGGGTTTTTCAAATTTCAAACTGTTGTTGCATCTTTTGTAGAAAAGATTCGATTTTTGTTATGTTTTGTTTTGCATTACGGGTTATCTCCATTTGTAGATTAGCAGCAATCTAATTCATCTAGATCTTGATTCCATTAGGACTTTGATTCTTCGTTTATATGATATGAATTGTGTTTCTGTATGGGATTTCAGTTGAATCTTTCTTCCTGGTGATTTGAGGGGAAGAATTCAAGAAATCTTGATTAGGGTTCCCAAAAGTTTTCATCTTTTGGGTTTGATTCAAGAAGGAATGTTGGAAGAGCCATCCTTTGTGGTTTCCAGGAACTTTAATTGCAAAAGGGAGAACTCTTGGGGTTTTATGAGTAATTGCAGGATCGAAAAGATCGAATCTCACCACGAGAAAAGACCATTAGAAATCGGAGACGATGAGGTTGTTCACGCTAGAAAAATCTTGAAGCAATCTAACGGCTACGAAAATCTTGATCTTGGATTAGGGTTTCTTGATCTTGCCATAGCCTCGAGTGAACAGTCGGGCGACAACTCCGATTCGAGTTCCCTGATCCACGCCATTGGTCCAGATAACTCCATCAGTTGTCTACTCCGATGCTCAAGATCTGATTACGGTTCTTTAGCATCACTAAACCGCAACTTCCGTAACCTCATTAGGAGCGGAGAACTTTATAGATTAAGAAGGAAGAATGGCATCATCGAACATTGGGTTTACTTTTCTTGCCATTTGGTCCAATGGGAAGCTTTCGATCCGATTAATCAGCATTGGATGCATCTGCCCACAATGTCTTCAAACACATGCTTCCAGTTTTCTGATAAAGAATCTTTAGCAGTTGGCACTGAGCTACTTGTTTTAGGCAAAGAAGTTCTTGACCATGTGATATATAAGTATAGTCTGTTAACAAACTCATGGTCTTTTGGGCAGCTAATGAATGCACCCAGATGCTTATTTGGGTCCGCGAGTCTTGGAGAGATTGCAATTGTAGCCGGTGGGTCAGACCCGAATGGGAAGATCACGAACTCGGCTGAGCTCTACAACAGCGAAACGGGAGCCTGGGAGACGCTTCCGAATATGCTTAAACCGAGGAAAATGTGTTCTGGGGTGTTTATGGATAATAAATTTTATGTAATCGGAGGGGTCGGAGGAAGCGATATGAAGGCGTTGACATGTGGTGAAGAATATGATTTGAGTACAAGGGTATGGAAGGAAATCCCCAATATGTCACCAGTGAGAACAGGTGGTGCCGCCAACGCCACGACCGCAACCGCCACCGAGGCGCCGCCTCTAGTTGCGGTCGTGGATAATGAGCTGTACGCTGCTGACTGCGCAGATATGGAAGTGAGGAAGTACGATAAAGAAAGGAAAGAATGGGAGACAGTAGGGAGATTACCCGAAAGGGCGGATTCGATGAACGGATGGGGCATCGCCTTTCGGGGATGTGGCGACCGTGTTATCGTCATTGGCGGGCCCAGAACCAGTGGGGCCGGGTTTATCGAAGTGAATTCGTGGGTCCCGAGAGACGGTCCACCGCGATGGACCATGCTTGGCAGGAAACAGTCCAGTAACTTTGTCTACAATTGTGCAGTAATGGGGTGCTGAAAAGCTTTGGAGTTGGATGGTTCTCATGGGGGATATGATATGATTCTTGATCAACAAAAGTTCCTCTTTTTCTCTCATCATTTTTCATTGAAAAAGAAAAGATTTTTATTTGAGATAAAGATTTCTTGAAATTGTCATCTGTCACAGGGTTAGAGGCTTCTAATAACACTTAGATTTTTGTCCAAAAAAAAGGAATTTGATATATGGTTTTTAATTTATCTTGACATTGCTCAAAGGAGAAATAAGTCGCAAGAACATACAAATTGTATTAGATTCACATATGAATAGGGCTTTTTCCTATTGTTCTTGTACTTATCTCTTCATGTTTCTGTTAATAATGTGTTCTAATCCCATTGTGTTTCTCTTCGTAATTCCTTTCTTCCGTCTAACTATGCTTCGTTTTTGGTCGTGTTAAGAATCTAGAAACTGAATTCTTTTCCAACGTATAGATATAGGCTCGACTTTGAGGTTAACAACCCGGTTGGAGTCCTTATGACACCAACCTGTTGGACTCCAACCTGTTTTCGTGAGACCAGTTGTGAAGGCACAAAAACACATTGAATCGTTGTGAAGGTTCAATGTCCTTCGAAGCGTTATGCTGCGAAGGTTCAGCGTTTTTTTGTGGCCACGTGAAAACAGGTTGGCCTCGTATGATTTCAAGTCTAACAAACCCCACGAGTCTGTATCAACATAAAATAGCAGTCTGTTATTGGTAGACCATAACTATGACGTTACAAGACCGGTTTGTTAGATTTTGAGTTGAATAACAAACCCGGGTCGGGTTCTTGTAAGACCAGTTGTGAAGGCACAAACACACACTAAACCTTTACAACAAAAACACTTTTAAGGTATTTTTGCTGTGAAGATTCAATGTTATTTTTGTATCTTTAAAGTGTTTTGCTATGAAGGTTCAATGATTTTCCTAAGGAAAAAAATGGACCTAAAACAATCTTTGTCATTAAATGGTATAACTTTACATAAAATGGAGCCATGAACAATCTAATTCTTAAATCATGGCCATGTAAAACTAGCTCCACAAATCCATGGTGGTTTGCTAATTTATAGAGTTACAAATACAAGAACTGCAGATCCCCCTCAAAAGTAGAGGGTCTGATGCATCAGATGTATGCAGACCTAACATCTATGTTCAAAAAGGAAATCCTTTATGCACACTCCTTTTAGATTCTTCGGCTAACCGTTTGACATGTTTTGCATCCAAATAACAATCCATCAACTCCTTTGCAGTCTCGAGAGGGTGACAATTGATAAACGCCTTGAAAAACCTTCTTTCGGTCATCCTCAAAGCCGTGAACACTTTGGGCCCCTCGATACGTGGAAAAAGACCCATATCGTCTATCTTCGCAGCAACAATCATACGGGGTTTCATCACCGTCTCGAGATTGTTAAAAATCAAAAAAGGGTGACTTAATACAACCTTTGCTGGCTGTTTCATACATCCCACCACATAAGTCATGTTCCTTTGAACTTTGTCAACCGATAAAGTCAACACGAGGGGTGAGCTACCTATAAGACGAAAAACCTCATCTTCCATGAACCCGAACTTCTCCAAGTTTGCTACTTTCTCACGGATGGTCTCGAGGCGTGAAATAGCCATAATGGTGACCACATATTTGTACATTTTCGAATCTTTTGATGTGCCGGTTCTTCTGATGTACTCCAACTTCTCATCGTTCAGTGAGGTTCTAGGTAATATAGTAGGTCGAGATAGAAGCATTAATGTTAAATCCTCCTGGTTTATGCCCATAGATTTGTATAAGTCAACGGTCGGTATAATCATTGTCTTCAAATCATACGTAAGAATTGACGGGTTTCTGAGAATGGCTTTTTGAAGCGTTTGTTTCGAACCAAACAAGTTTTCGAGGTACTGAACTCGCTCATCGAGGTAATGGTTGATCTTACATCTTAGAAAACGGGGTCGGCAGCTAATGATTTTGACTAGGTCAGAAGAGCTGAATCCAAGATCGTGAAGTATTTTGAGTTTGGATTGAAGCTTATCGAGTTTGGCTTTGTGGAGAGAAGGCACACGTTCGAATATATGTGATGTCTGTTGGTTATTACATCCCCATGCTCTAAACAGATCTTGACAGTTCTTTGGTGATACCTGATACTCTTGGAGTGAAAAGGAAAGCAGAAGAGAGGTTAAGAATTTATCAAATAAAAATTACAAGAGTCGAAGGATATTCCATGAAACGGGCAATTGAGTATAGCAATTAGCAAACATCTATGGAGAAAGAAGTTAAAATTGAGACCTGATCTTGGACTGGTTTATGTTTCCCATCAAGAATGTTGGAGGGTGCATCTATCACCTGGAAAAAAACACCAAAAGTTTAATAGTGACATTAAGGCCATAAGTGTGTGTTTGGTACACTGGATAAGACGGAACAAGGATCATTGTTCTATGTTTAGCAGGACTTTTATGTGGAACAGACAGGAACAAAGTAAAACATAGTGGGCACTGAGCAGAACTTTTATATGGAACAGACAAGAACAACAGAGTAGAATAGGCGTGTTCCACTCCTATCCCATGGAACAAGATGGAACAGACCTATATTTAATCAATATAAACTTTCACTTTATAGTCCTCAAAATATTATTTTTATACGGTTTCTATATCTTGACTAATTTATGCAATTCATTAAACATTAATAATATATATATATATATATATATATATATATAGAAAAGGTATAAAATAAAAATTGGAAACTACATAAACTTTTATTTTGGTGTCACTTTAATACAAAAACTTTCTAATGATATATTTTGTTATACAAGATATTTATTTCATTATAATTAAATAAAATATATAAACAATTCATTAGGGGTAAATTGGTCATTTTATCCATTTTGTCCTATTCTATCCTCTATACAGATACCAAACGCACCTAAACAAGTTTTCAATATACATTTTGATAGAAGATTCAATCTTTATAACATGGACTATGAATATACAAGATCTTGTTAAAAAATTTAATGAAGCCCACATGAATTTTTCAATTTGAATAGTAACTGGTTTGGTCGAAAGCTCCTAATGAAACAAATTTACAAGAAACAGTGATGATCAACCCAAGTCTACATATGTAAGCTTACCCAAATCTCACCAGTTTATGATCTCAAAACTCCAAAGCTTCCCACTTTAATTAGGTTTGAGTTATCACACAAAGATCACCCGTCCTCGACTCATTTGCATCTAGAACACAAGAAAATAAAGCCTACAAGTTGCTCCTAGTACATGGTGTCATTTCATCTATGGGATCAGGTTATGTCCTCCATGCTAAACAGTTTCTATGAGGTTGCTTGGTTCATTGGTGTTTTTCTATCATTACTCAATAGTAATGCCATTCGAGGACAAAGGGGCCTAAAGTGAACCACATTCTGCTTAACTATGTTCACGGATAGGAGTGCATGGAAGGATGTCACTCATGCCCCAAAACAGCAAGGGGTTAGCATATGGGGATGTTTGGTTGGTTTTCCATTAAGTCCTGTATGGATAAAGTTGTCTATGTGAATTAATTTGTCTGCATACAATAGAAAGATTTTTGTTTGGGAGAGTTTGTTCATAGATGAAACGAGCATGTTCTTTTATTGGGAATGGCAGGTTTGGAAAAAACTTGGCTTTTTGCGTAAAGCTCCCCCTAGAAGCTTACTGAATAAGACACTTTTTCTATATCATTAAGCCAGTACCAAACAGTGATATATAGTTGACTGAATAAGTTGTGAATCTCATTAAGCCCATTAAGCTGCTAACAAACAAACCTTATGTTTTATAGTTTGCTTTTGTTTCATCAGCCTATCCTAACTTGTTCAGGCTAATATGGTTGTTATTATCGCCTATGTCTAGTTGCATTGGGGCAATGATCTAGGGTTAATGCCAATCAATAAATTGGAACAACTTCGTAAGTATATCTTCGATATAGAAATTGAAAGRATCCGATTCGAGCAAATTTTCAATTCAAAAAAATTTGTTGGAACGGCTAAAACTTTTTCGATCCACAGTGTATCGCGCGCGAATCAACCGTCGGTATGATTCTTTGATAGAAAGAAAACACAAAAGGGGTGTTGTCTTTATAGTTTTGCTTAAGGATGCTCTTAGTTTAGGTATTCACTTCGTTGCCTCCATTCCCCAAGGCTTTTTCAATCCTAGTTTCGATGCACATTATAATTGTTACCTTCCAAGAAAATTCAGCTATGTATATGTATATATAGGGGGAGTTTCAAATACAAACCAATCTTAACCATCCATCTAGCCTAATCAATACATGGTCCCATAAATATTTCGAATGTAACCTTACCACGGATTGATCTGTTGAAATGGAGCATCTTGAGAAAGAGGTCCCTAATCCTTCTGTTATTATAGCCTGCAGATGACATAGAATATCTACATGACATAAATGAATTGAACAATATAAATCAACCAAAATATAGCTTCAAGTAATCATAAAAATAGGAGAACATGTGCTATACATCAAGCAGCTATCCAAATTCATGAATTTCTATGTCAATTTGATACATAAACTGTAGTTTGAACAAAAAAATACACGCCATTATAGCCATCAAAATATTGTCTCTTTCTAATAAGATGGACAAGTATTCGCATTGCTGCTTTGCTTTAGGTTAATTCCAAATCCCTAAATTGAGTACTTACAGCTGCAATTTTACAGGGTTTAAGAACAAACTACAAAATAATTTAGTAATTCACCAACCAAATAGCAACAGTAAAACAAGAACCTAAAAACGAAAAGGTCACTGAATACCGAAGGTTTCATGGACCCCAAATCCCCAAAAATCTAAAAGGTGTAAGGCGAATCCACGCAGAATTCGCCATACTTGTAAAAAGAACTTGTGATTAGTAAATCTTCCTACAAATCACGATAGACTTACAGCAAAGAATGATGAGAGACCTCGAGGCTTCTGCGGTAGAAGAGTTGTTGTTCTTGATTTAATGCAAATCGCCATTGATGCAGGCGGAAATCAGTGTGTCAAAACGAAAATTGTCAAGATTGAAATGGAATTTGCTATTTTGCTTGAAGGATAAACGGAGACTATCATTGGGCCATTTTTTGGGCCGTTTTTAAAGCCCATTGGGCTGAGCAATATTTTGGAGTTTATGTTTCACTTTGAAGGGTAAATCAGTAAATTGCTAATTTCAAGTTGGTTAAAAATATTCAAGTATGTTTTGAAGCATTAGCTTAAAACTTTTGAAAAAAAATTATGTTTAGGTCTTAATATATAAAAAAGTTCAATTCCAAATCGATTTTCGATTATGAACCAGAGGATGATAAAGGAGAGCGCGACACTTGTCCATGTTTCTTACATTCAATATGAACGACGAAGGTGAACGTTCATACAACATTCATGATAAATGATACAACATTCATCATGAATGATATATTATTCATGATGAATAACCCGTGAAGATGAAAGAAACGTGGCGTGCTCTCTTTTATCCCCGATTCACAACCCAAAATTGATTTTTAACTGAAATCTCCCCTATACATAGGGTTGGGTTCTCGTGAGACCTGTGAGACCACACAAAATTACATTGAATTATAGCAAAACATTGGGAAGGTACAAAAAATACTGAACCTTCACAGTGTTTTCCTGTAAAGGTTCATTGCTAATTTGTGGTCTCACAAAAACGGGTTGATCTCACATGATCCTATGTCTATATATATACTCCGTTGTGAGCGGGAAAGCGTTCTGACAGTTAGAGCCCGAAACATTTTTCTATAGAATAAAGAACATGGGAGTACGAAAAGTAATAAGATAAGCGCACAGACCAATCAATCGTGTCGTTCATATTCTTGAATTTGGAATGAAAAGAGGAGCGATGCTTCCTAGCACAGGATAGTCAACATGCTTCTCAACTTCTTTTTATCTGCTTATACGAGAAAGGCCTAAACAGAGCCCTAGAAGAGGCATCCTACTTTTGATCTAAAGACGGGTTGATTTCACACACACACACACACACACATATATATATATATATATATATATATATATATAGGTGGAGGTTCAAAGCAGATTTCCTTCATTTTATGAGAACATGATAACACGTTTATCACATATGATAATACACGTGGGGAGACCTTGTGGTATGTAGATGATGTCCTCTGGGACCTAGGTCGAGCCAAAGGCCGTTTGCGTCTCTAATTCAGTATCACATCAAAAACACTTTTATCACATGTGATAATACATATGAAACGACCTAGTGGCGTATAGTCAACTTGCCCTGCAACCTAGGTCGCATTAAAGGTCATCTCCATATATGATTTAGTGTCACATGATCATATGTTTTGGAATATAGTATCACATGTGAATGACTGTAGTAAAAAGGTGTTTTCATTTCTCTCTCTGTAACACACTCAGGTCTGAAAAGAACGACTAGTTTAGAATTTTCGATAATACATCAAATAAAGGATGAACCCATTTTTATAAATCAATACTTGATTTCCGGAATTTATCTCGTTGTTTATACGACTTATGCCTCAAAAGGTTTGCATATTTTTATTATTGATTCAAACGTTGGGTAAAATCCCAAATTACACCATAACTTCAAGGAAGCATTTTCAAATGAGCAGTGACTCACAAAATGTACCAACCAACTCAACCATATGTGTTTCTCGAATAATTTATAATATCTAAATACCAAAAGTGTACTAACATCAAATAATTCCCAAGGAGGAATAAATCATAAAGTTCTCCACACTTGTTTATTTACCAAAATTCCTAAAAGTCCCAAATATCATTAAATAATCAGTACGTTTGATAGATATCAAAAAAAAAAAAAACTGCCCCTATCTCCAAACACGGAAGACGTCAGCGTATAGCTAAATCATTCTCGTGCATGTATCTAGCACTCATCTCATCGTGGTGATGCTAGTACCATTCCCTAACAAGGACCTAATGCGCATGCCGACAAATAAAAAAGGATCATATTTAACGCCATATCAGTTCAAACAATTCTTATCTTAAATATAAAAAGGGTAAAACTGAAAAGATGTTATTTAAATTACAATTCCTAAGAATGAGATATATTTTGTATAAAGAAACATGCTTTCCAGAATCCAACATTTTCGTTATGAAAACTCATTTACCAAAACACCCCTTTACCATGAATCTCAATCCCAATACTCACCCAAAAGCGAATAACATTAAATGTTCAAATACAGAGAATGTTAATAAATCATAATTATCTGAAAACACCTAAACGTGGATGAGGTCCAATCCCCAAATCATAAATAATGGAAATATACTCCATTCTCAACACGTCATGAAAAACATGGATAAAACTAATGCCCAAAACAACACCTTTCGGCGATGGGGGAGATCCAATTTCCATGGTTAGTGACGGAGCATGAAGGTTGGCCACGATTACATGTTATAGAGCTCATCGAGAGGGTCAATAGTCCCAATGGGATCAATTAACTGCGATTTATAGTTCAAAGCCCCAGATGATCCTAGGTACACTCATTCACTAGATATTAATGTGGCCAATGACGAGTATTCGACTCCCATAAGACCATACGAAGTTGCCCCCGATGACCCAATGCCTGTTTCTAGCTACAATACAAGAATAATCATCCTATTAAAATTGACTCAGAAATATATCATAGGGTCGATGGCAAATGATTGACTTCAAGAGCCCGCACCATGAGGCCCTCGATGACCAAGTTTATATTCTTGGCCATAATGCGGGGACAACCGTCACATTTTAAATCAACAAAGATCAACTCATATGCCTATGGATCAAATGTATCACATTCTAAACTACATGTCCCTAAATGAATGACCATGCACTCAAAACATGTAACATCTCAAATAAATATGCCATAAGTGCATATAACTCTAAATGCTCGACATAGAGCAATAAAAAAAACCAGACAATTGTTAACAGGATACATTCTATGGTTTTGAATCGGAAATATCTTGTTACGTGAAATAATTCTAGAAGGCCTTTACCTCATGGTATCCTCGTTGTTGGCTTAACATGAAGGTTAATGGCTCAATCATTACTAAATGTGAGAAAGGGGTGAATTTATTTGTTGTATATAAATAGCATATACTTAAAAACTGGTGTCATTGGCCATCTTTTTACCTTTTCACTAATGAAGTATTTTGCACTAATAGCTTCATGATGACCTAATTGTTGGATGAACTGAAACATGTAAAAATCACTTGACGTTGTTTTCCAGCTTATACACATTAATAATAACAATTATTTCATTATATATTTGTATGTTTGCATATACAAGTAACGATTAGCAACTTTAGTACAATATTTTTCAGATATATCTTTGTGTTTTGTATTTAGTCAAAAGTTGATAAACGACAACCCTAACCAGTACTTCATAGAACCTGTCTTTAAGGAGACTAATATGGGGGGGGGCATTTTTTGACTCACTCAGTAACTGATGCTAGCAGAATGTCTAAGATCGAACAGAAGAATATGTCTTATATTTGAGGAAAGTCACCACACTGGTTGGACAATTGAGCTAAAACATCAAATGCCTATGTATTTTGTATTACTTACTTTATAATAAACAATGATCATATTTGAGGTATATCCTTTACATTAAATTAAAACAACATTCTCATGCGCCTACAATCGAATAATCCATGTTCGAACTTACTTTAAGTTTGATTAAATGAAACATCAAGTTTTCAGTATTCATCCTTCCCGAATGCAGCATACAACTCTCCGTTGTACTGCGCTCTTCAGGAATGGAGAGCTTTCCCCATTTTCCGCCGTTTCTTTGGCCTTAAGAACGCTGACGGAAGAAGAAACGGAAAATAGGATTGAACGGCTAAGTTCACGAGTTGGAGATAAGCGGACTCGTTATATGGGGATTAAATGATAATCAATTTATATGGAATCGATGAGACAAAATAATTACTCCCTCTATCTCAAAATAAACATCCATGATGAAAAAAAGACGCAATCTTAGAAATGTATAATTATTACACTTTTTATTAAATTAAATGATAATTTTAACCTTAATTATAGAGAAATAAAAGTTTTACAAGTGGACACTTACATCATCTCCAACTGCTACTCTATTTTAGCAAAAATTATAACATTAATTATACTACTAAAATATTCAATATATTTAATAAAATATTGTTTATCTCTTATATAGAGTTTTAAAGATTTCTCCAAATTTAGATATTTCCACTTTATCTGTCTTTTTTTTCTTTTTTTTAACACACCATTTAGCATACCTGTTAATCAAAAAAAAAATCTTAAATGTTCAAAAAAATATATTTTAACATAACTGTTGAAGGCTCTAATTTTAAAACAAACTAAGGGGTTGTTTGTTTACATCTTAATAGTTCCATTTAAGAGGCAACATCTGTATCGTTAAGAGGTGAATCTTGTTTGACAAAAAAAAATATGTTTCTTAATGGTTCTAAAACCATCTGAATGATTTTGTATCCTGGATCTCCCTTAACCATTAAGAGCCCTAATTTCATTGTACATAATTACCAAACAATTATATTTCATTTTGCACTATATCATGAGAGTCTTTTAATCATTCTGCACCAAATCATTCAGCAATTGCCAAGTAGCCCCTAAAATAATAATGTAGATACTTATTTTGAGACATGAAAATAAAAGGTTGTTCAGTTAAAAATATTAAACAATAATTAATAAAATTGATAATAATAAAAAAACTATTTAATTTTATATAATATAACGGATCCATTTATTCACACGCCTAAATTTTCATTTCTAAGTTAAACATGGGCGGATGGGAAATTCATTCATATTCTTTTTCTATTATTTTATTTCATTAAATATAATGATTATTAAAAGAAAAAAAGAAGCGGAAAGCCGGTAAACAAGACAAAGTCTGGATTTAATGAATTTTGAGGGAACAAAGAAAAGGAATCCAAAGATGACGTAATCAAATCAAGACAAAAAGGCATTTAAATTATTATTTTAATAATTACTTATTAATTAATTAATCATGGTTTATTGTTGTTAATTAATTTAAACGGCGTTAATGGACTAAACAACTCCCTTTCACCACCCCACGCTACAAATAAACAACCCCACATGAGACGGACCGACCTTCTAACCTAACGCCGTTACTACCAATTACATACAGAGTTAATATTCCCTTTTTTAGCTTACAAACCCTTTTACTTTCAATAAATACCATATAAGTCCTTCACTTTTAGGGAAACTCACCAATATAGCTAAATGATTCCCCCTCGTTCACTTCCTATCCCATTTTTTTCAATTTATCTCAAAATAGCCAATATTGGTTGTACAAATGTAAATTGTTGCATAATAACTCACACACACACACATATATATATATGGGTGTAAATGAGACTTTCGAGTTGATTAGTATGTTCATCAAGTTGGGCTTGAAAAATTACTACCAGACTTGAGTTTGAATATTTTTTGATTTATCGAGCTTGAGCTCGATGCTCGTTTATGGGTTCAAACTCACGATCCATAAACTCGTTTATCGTCTTGAATTCGATAATAGATATATTTTTGTTGTATAATTAATAAATATATGAGCATGTTTGGCACGAAAAAAGCGTACGCTCGAATTGTTTACACCATGTGTTTATAAATTTTACAAGTTGTGAAAACACACTTTGTGAAATTTTGGCTATTTTGATTGGAAAAGAAAAAAAAGTGGGCTAAAAATTATAGGAGGAAGTGATTTGGTTATTTTGGTCAATTTCCCTCTATTTTATAACTTGTGGAAAGTATAAGCAATTGTATTTTTCGTCAATAACATGTCTATTGTACTTGATTCTTTAATTGTAAAAATGACATACAAATGATTTTTTTCACAAACATCCATTTGGTTTTCCCTTACTTTATATCGTTCTCACCAGTAAATTAAAAAACCGCAAATGAATTCGAATTTACAACCTGTAATGCCACATGTAATGTCAGTAGCAGTAGACTCCAACTTCTTGTTAACTTAGGACAACACACATCAACTTAAAATAGTAAGACGTCTAAACTTGTTTACATCGTGTCAAACAATAGATAGAGTGGAGACACGAACGCTCCTGGATGCTTAGGGATCGTTTACCCAATGCTTACCGGTAATAATCAACATTTTTACTTAACTTACCGGGTAAGATTTTAGTACATTAAAACGGTATCGTATGCAAGATTTTTATCCGAAAAAAGTTTATGGGGTAATAGTTGTCACTTTCACTTATCAGGTAAGACTTTAGTCCTTGTCATTGCTCTTATCGGGTAAAATTACCAAAGTTTGTCATGTTCATTTGACAAGGTAAGGTGACATGGTAAGCATATTGGATTAGCGTTAGTAAACTGGCTCTTAGGGGTCATTTACTAAACACTTACTTAGCAAGTGTTTAACGCATAAATTTCCTCATCGGATGAATAGGAGAAGGGTCAAGATTCTTACCGGGTAAGAGCGATGAGGAGGATGGAGAGTCTTACCCGGTAAGTGAGGATGACGTCTTACCTAGTAATTTGTTGCATTTGATATGCTTTGATGCACTAAAATCTTACGTATCTAAATAAATTATAGTGTTGATTCTTATTGGTAAACGCTTACCGGGTAAGCATTTAGGTAAACGGCTTCTTCCTCTATCGTTGAATACCTCCCCTTTCCTAAACAATACTTTTTTATGTATCAAAATCAAAAAAGAAAAAAAGAGGACTTACTTGAGGTCGAACGAAAGATGAAGGGGTGTAAGTGAAAATATGGTCAAAAAGCCATCCACCTTTTCCCCACCGCTTAGTCTTCATCCTTCCATTATTATGAATATCCTCCATTGTTGATCTTCTTCGAGCTCATGCTCTGACTGACACAGACAGCTCCTTCCATCCTCATCCTTCTGCAACCCTTATCTGGACGTATTTCCTTGTCCTTTCTCCCGTCCTTTTCTTGTCAATTTCTCCCTCAATTCCATCCCCGCTTTCCAATATTCCCTCCGCCCCACCACCACCATCACCACCACCACCAATCATGCTTCACTCTCTTCTCCTTCCCTCCACCACCACCACTCTTGTTAACAACCCCAATTCCACTACCATGAACGCAAACGCCTCCAAACGATCCATCTCCGACTCCGCCGGAGAAAACAACGAAGTCGCCGATGATCACCACCATAAACGACGGAACGTAGAAGACAAGGGGATTGATAACCAGGATGATCATGAAATCATTGTGGAAGCGGAATCGTCTGGTTTAAGACTTTTGGGATTGTTGCTACAATGCGCCGAGTGCGTAGCGGTTGATAACCTAGACCACGCGAATAATCTCTTACCGGAGATAGCGGAATTGTCTTCTCCCTTCGGTTCTTCGCCGGAACGTGTGGCGGCGTACTTCGCCGAAGCTCTACAGGCGAGGATTATCAGTTCGTATCTCGGAACGTATACGCCTCTCGGAATCAAAAAATTAGCCCTAGCTCAAAGCCAGAAGATCTGTAACGCTCTTCAATCCTACAATTCGATCAGTCCGTTCATCAAATTCTCACATTTCACAGCGAATCAAGCGATTTTTCAAGCTCTACAAGGCGAAGATGGCGTCCATATCATCGATCTCGACATAATGCAAGGTCTTCAATGGCCTGGATTGTTCCACATCCTCGCTTCACGACCTCGCAAAATCAAATCCCTCAGAATCACCGGCGTCGGATCCTCCATCGAACTTCTAGAAGCCACCGGTCGTCGTCTCAACGATTTCGCAAACTCACTCGGCCTCCCCTTCGAATTCGTTCCTCTCGAAGGTAAAATCGGAAACATCACTTCAGATCTAACGACTCAACTCGGAATCAGATCCGGCGAAACGGTCGTCGTCCACTGGATGCACCACTGTCTCTACGACGTCACCGGCAGCGACTTTGCAACTTTACGACTACTAACCTTACTAAAACCCAAACTGATAACAATCGTCGAACAAGATCTGAGCCACGCCGGAAGTTTTCTAGGCCGGTTCGTGGAAGCGCTCCATTACTACTCTGCCTTGTTCGACGCCTTAGGCGACGGCCTGGACTCCGAAAACGTCGAACGGCACACGGTGGAGCAACAGTTGTTCGGTTGTGAGATCAAGAACATCGTCGCCGTCGGCGGACCAAAGAGGACCGGCGAGGTGAAGGTTGAGAGATGGGGAGAAGAACTGAGTCGGGTCGGGTTTAGACCCGTTTCATTAGCGGGTAACCCGGCCGCCCAAGCGAGTTTGTTGTTGGGAATGTTTCCATGGAAAGGGTACACATTAGTGGAGGAAAACGGTTGTTTGAAATTGGGTTGGAAAGATTTGTCTTTGCTGACTGCCTCCGCATGGCAGCCGTCGGATGCTGATTAAAGTCAACGATTAAGTTTGATCAACGGTGGAGATTAGTCAACTTGCAATAATAAAATCTAAAATTGTAAAAATGCTTTTTGTTTATTTTTTCTAAATTGTTCTTTTTGGGGGGATGAACGATGATTATTCACTTCTCACGTTATAATAAAATTTTGAGACTTTGATTTTTAAGTCAATTATTTCCGAAAAACGTACGAAATCCGGGAAAAAATTACTTCGTAACAATTGTCTTGGAATTGGCATAGAAACAAAGATTAACCGATATAGTAATGGAATCTTTTTCTTTAACGATTTGAACGGATAGTATGGATGTCGTTATTATCGAAGTATTGATTGATGAATACAAGAAACGTGTTATATACTGCGAAACAAAAACAATGTTCGTTGTATAACGTCATAAAAACATCATGTTATGAACGTTGTACATAAACAATTTCTTTGGATTAAAACACGGATCCAACTTGATGAAGCATATAAGTTCACCTTAAGAAATTTGTATTGTGCTTTCACTTTCATAACAAACATGGAGATACATATGCATGACATATAAGGGTTGGGTTCTGTTGAGAATGAAAGTTAAAATCAGAAGTATAAGAAGAAATCTACACTCTTAGATGCATGTTAGGATGGGATGCACCAAGACCAATCCCCGTATCATGCACGAATCATTGGTGGCTTTATGATTAAAGGTGATTAACGTCTAAATCTCTTCTTACGCTTCTCACCTTAACTCTCCTTTTTCAGCTATATAAAACATGATTGCAAAAACATGTTTTCATATGCATAAACATGTGTATAAATTTCGTAAATCATACTAAATTCACCTTAACATTTAGGCATGTTAGGTCACGTGGGTACAAATAGTCGAGCATTTGGTTTGGTTCTCATTGTTCAATGGTTTGAGTACTTTGAGGACCACCTAACTATTAACTTCAATAGAACGTGGAATCAGTTGAGGTGTATACAAAGTAATTTAAAAAATCCCAAAATTATAAATAAATAAAAAAACATGTAGGCTTACATGACCAAATCACAGTTCAAAACTGTCCCACCTTACACAGATGTTATGGGTTTAACATAACGACGGAGACCCATCAGTGTTAATCGTATATTTGAAAGAAACCATGCAAGTAGCGCTATATTGAGAGAGGATGCTCTAAGCAAGAACTCATGATCTAGCATTATGAAGTTTAGGAATGGCAAACGGCCAAGTTCGGCCTGTTATTGGTATCCTCGTCCCTGGAACCGAAAACCAAAACCGTTCCCGTTACTTTCCAATCCCCGTCAAGAATCCCTATTGGGGGCCTGGTTTCCTTGATCTCCGTTAAGGAACCCATTAAGGGTAAAAAAAAATCCTTGTTCACTGTTAGTTATACGTGAAACCTAAACGAAGACTGAACTGAAAAATTACACGATGCTAACTTTCGCAAATGTAAGTAAATTACAATTTTTTAAAACATTAAGTCTAAATGTCTCAAACATAATCAAACCAATTATGAATATTGTCTTATATTACAATATAAAATCAGTAGAAGTTCAAATATCATCCAACAAACATCACGATTAGACAAGTAAAGTAGCTTTTTTTTCGTGAGGCTTATTTCGAGTGTTGAAATAAAGTGGATAAAAACACTTTAAAAAACTTAATATTGGTAATTTTTTTTAATGATATATTATATATATCGGGCCGGGCCGGTGATCACCATTTCCGCCCCCGTCCCCGACAAAATCTCCGGATATATCTTCGATCCCCGTCCCCTCCTCGATATGAAGTTTCCCAACCTGACCCTAAAAATTCGGTTTTCATCCTCGGTTTCAGGTTTTTTTGCCATCCCCAACACAACTTTGCATACCGCAAATTATGATGACATAATTCTGTTAAAGAGGAGAGGGTATTTAGTTTCTATTTAAATTAATAAAATTATTTTAGTTGAGAATTATTAAAAGATGTGGTGAAATGCAAAATTAGAAACTTGATGGGCATTCCAGTAATTTTTCAAAATGAGTAACAAAAGCAACAAAATTTCCATTTTAGTAAAAAGAAAGAAAGGCTAAAGGACAATGTATTATATGCATTGTGTCTCCAATATTTTCCTTTCAGATTGGTTCACTTTTGAGTTTGAAAATGAAGCAATGAGGCTATCCAAAGGGGGTAATCCCCAATATATTTATACTGTATTATAAAACATTTGACGAAAACTCTTGAAAACCAATTTTTATGTATTAAGTACTGTTTATTGATGCATATTACTTAAAATTCAAGATTACAAGTAAATTGTGTGTAAGTAMAACTTATTAAARCTTCATGTTTGAATTCATGTAACTAACTGTAGATAAACATAATTAAATAGAGAATAGATATCTCATTTTAAATATAAAAAATCTAAAATATAATTAGGATAATAATTGACTTCTTACAAAATACTTGATTATTATCTTTATAAAAAAATTATATTATTAAACAAAAAATAAAAAATAAATTAAAGAAATACACACAAAATGAGAAATTTTAAACAGTTAGTTTCGTACTAATATCAATGTTTTTTTTTCAATTTTTTATGATATATTCATATTTATATTTTATTCAAAAATAAAAATATTATCGTTTTATCAAAACCACATAAAACAGTATTATTGTACCGACTGAGATAAAAAAAGATGAAACATTAAAATCGAGATGTATCTCGCTGTATTGTGTTAGTAACCTTCTAGTATAAAATAAATAAATATACTGACAAGAAAACCAAGTTTCTTTTTATACATGTGTCCCTTTGTTATTGGCTGGTGATTATCAGGATATCGACAAAAAACCTCATAATTTGATGACCTGAATGGATTTTTGGTGATTTGCATGGATTTTTTCATCTCTTTTTTAAGAAAGTGGGTTCCACCTCCGATATTGATGAGAAAATCGTCAATGACGAATTCCTTTGACGATTTGGCTGGTCATTTTGTGCAAATATGAAGAAAATCAGTCATTTTCTCACTTTCTTTATGTATTTTGATCTTTTTGGAGAATACCCCTTAATATAGCTACACATTACGTACGCTCCTAAACGTTTAGCCCAGTTAGTAAAGGGGCATAATGACTTTTCTCGAATCCTGCGAGAGACGGCTTGAACCCCTCTGCTAGCATCAATTGCTGCTTTAGATATGAAATATCTCCTCACATATAGTTCTTAGTGGGCAGGTTTCATGTGAGACCAGTCAGTGTTACTGATAATCAATCTTTTGCTCAAAATACAAATTATTTTCATTACAAAACAATACCGAATTACCGAATATTCATCTTATTTGCAAAATTACCATATTGGGCTTACAAATTTAACCCACGCTGTAAAGCCCAATTCGGTCAAACCAAACAATTGATATCTATATGTTTGCTGTCTTTATAAATTCTGGGCCGGCCCAAAGTTTGACCAGCTGGCCCATTTAATTTGGATCTTTGACGAACAGTCCCATTAAATTTGGATCTTAGACAAACTGGCCCATTAAATTTGGGCTTTAAACTGTCCAATATGTTGGGCTTCTAATGAATTTTGTGTACTGAAATATATAATTTTTTATTAACCTAGATATCGAACACGCTATGCGAGCTGACTAATCCCAGGGGTATCACCTGCTTTGTCAATAGCCCGGAGTTACCACATTTGAAACTCCGTGGCCACAAGGAGATTTTTAATCCTCCTTGGATTTGAACCTGGGACCTCCTGGTACTTTTTTTTTTATTAACCTGGATATCCAACCTGCTATGTGAGCCGACTAATCCCAAGGCGACCACGTGCTTTGCAGATAGCCCGGAGTCACCGCATTTGAACATCCGTGGTCACAAGGAGATTTTTATTCCTCCTTGGATTTGAACCTGGGACCTCCTGGTACTTTTGACCTTTGGAGCCAAGCTTAAACCAATCAGGCACCACACTTGTGGTTGTCCTGAAATAATTTTCTTAACGACATATATATTTGCTTATTCATCATCGATGAATTTGTTAGAGATTTGAAATCACGGCCGATAAATTAATATAAATAAACTAATACCGAATGTCATCGAAGACATAACATTATTATTATTTTCGTGTTGTTATTTGTCGCAAATTGGTTAAGTCTCACGGGAATGAAGTCTCAAAGCTCTTGTGGCCAGGTTCATCTGTGCCGAGGCTGTTCATGGTCGTTCTATGCACGTTAACCAACCTGAAAATCGAGTCACGACGAAACAATTGTTCTATGTTTGATAAGATATAACTAGACATGACGGAACTGGTAAAATGACCAATTTATTACTAACGAGTTGTTTATGTATTTTTTATATTTGATTAATTCATGTAATTTATTAAATTATAGAAAAAGAAAATTTATTTTTTATAATAAAATACGTTAGTAGAAAAGTTTTTATTAACACAATTAAGATGACACGGAAATATAAAGTTTATTTAATTTCAAATTGGGCAAATTGTATGAAAAAAGTAACGTACATTTTAACTTGATTTTTATTTTGGGTAATGTACTTTCAGAACTTTCATTTTGGTACCTAAGATGTAAAGTTTTGAATATTTAAGTACTCGGGTAATCGGTTGAAGCATTAACCGGTTACTATGTTGATGTGATGAATGATGTGGTATCCAACTCAGTATTATTTACTAGTCAACCCAATTTCATCTCATCACCTGTTACATCAGCATGGTAACCGGTTACCCGAGTACTTGAATGTTTAAAACTTTACATCTTATGTACCAAAATGAAAATTCTAAAAGTATGTTACCTAAAATAGTAATTAAATTAAAGTACATTACTTTTTCATGCAATTTGTCATTTCTAATTTTTATTTTATGCCTTTAATATTTTTTTAATAATAATTAATAACGTGCATAATTTAACAAAAATAAAAAAAATATATAAAAATAATATTTTAAGAAACGTAAAGCGAAAACTTAAAAAGAATAATATGCAATAAATAAAATTTCAAGAATAAATAAAATATAAAGAGAAATGTGTATTTGATGTTTTACAAGTTTCATTTGAGGGTATAGTGGTAAAATATATGTTTGTTTCACCTGGTTATAAGGGATGGAACTGTTTTTGTCTATTTCACATAAAAATCATGCAAACATGGAACAATTATCCATGTTATGTTCTGTCATATCATGTCTAATGTATCAAACACACCCTTAATTAGT